ATTGTTTCTGTTATATATGTCGCTTATGTTAGGTACTTCATCTTCTTGCATAAGATGTATGAAGCGTTCAACATCTTCACGATCAGGTGGCTGATGGCAGAATTATGCAATAACAGTTCTGTTTGAGGTGAGTCTTCAAATCTGACTTTTGGTTCCACTTAAGCGGCACTTCATCTTCCCCTTAAATATAAATATAAATCGCCACCCATGCGGATTACACTGCGCATGCTCAAGCTCAATGTTTTGAAGGGCGAACAGCTGATTACTGGTTGAAGAGTTTATTCTAGATTGTTTACAACTTTTAAGAGCGAATTCAGCAATATAAAAATACGGTGTAAAGTTTACGGTTTACAATACTGATACGAACAGCTGTAAAATTGGAAATAAAGTTTCATATCATCAACATTCATCATTCAAGATTCGAAAATAGATCCTACATTATTTTAAGCAAGTTATGGGCGAATGTTTGTTGTCGTGACATAGTTGCAACCATTGTTTACTACTTACAAGGAATACTTCTACTCGTGCTATTTGCACAAGCTTTGTGTTTGGGCTCAAGCTATGTGCCCCCGTGCCGTTTATTCCTTATAAGGAATAAAGGTTTGCAACTTGCCAAAAGCAGGTTCAAAACTTAAGCTTGCTGCAGCTCTTTTCCTAAGTTTTCCAAACTTAAAATCGTCAGCAAAACCACATATAGATCGTAGCGGAAGGCCTTCAAATTAATTTGACGTTCTGAAACAAGCCATTTACATTTACATTTACATCAATTTTTACAATCGCACCTTGTACAGACCAGTACTCGTTTGTATCATGCACAGATCACAGAATAACCTCTGTAAGCTGTGGTATCATGCAGCTGTTCGCCCGTTAGTGCAGTGAAATTGAATATGCGCAGTGTTTGCCGCATAGGTGGCGAATTATCCGCTCCTATTATTTGCCTCATGGGGGCCTCACTCAAATAGTCAAGGTCAGACCAAGATTTTGATTGTCGTTAGCGCCA